ACAGAATCCAACAACACATGAAAAGGATCATACACCATGATTAAGTGGGATTTATCCCAGGGATGCAAGGATTCTTCAATATACGCAAATCAATGAATGTGATACACCACACTAACAAACTGAAGAATAAAAACCATATGATCATCTCAATAGAAGCAGAAAAAGCTTCTGAATTTTGTCAAATTATGATAAAAACTCTTGATAACTCTTGATAAAAATTTTCCAGGAAGTGGGCATAGAGGGAACCTACCTCAATATAATAAAGGCCATATATGACAAACCCATAGCCAACATCATTCTCAATGGTTAAAAACCGAAAGCATTTCCTCTAAGATCATGAACAACACAAGGATGTCCACTCTCGCCACTATTATTAAACATAGTTTTGGAAGTCCTAGCCATGGCAATCAGAGAAGAAAGAGAAATAAAAGGAATCCAAATCGGAAAAGAAGAAGTAAAGCTGTCACTGTTTGCAGATGACATGACATTATATATAGAGAATCCTAAAGATGCCAGCAGAAAACTACTAGAGCTAATCAATGAATTTGGTAAAGTTGCAGGATACAAAATTAATGCACAGAAATCTCTTGCATTCCTATACACTAACAATGAAAGATCAGAAAGAGAAATTAAGGAACAATCCCATTCACCATTGAAACAAAAAGAATAAAATGCTTAGTAATAAACCTACCTAAGGAGGTAAAAGACCTGTACTCAGAAAATTATAAGACACTGAGGAAAGAAATCAAAGATGACACAAACAGATGGAGAGATATACCATGTTCTTGGATTGGAAGAATCAATATTATGAAAATGACTCTACTACCCAAAGCAATCTACAGATTCAGTGCAATCCCTATCAAATTACCAATGGCATTTTTTACAGAACTAGAGCAAAAAATCTTAAAATCTGTATGGAGACACAAAAGACCCTGAATAGCCAAAGCAATCTTGAGAGAAAAAAAGAGAGCTGGGGCTTCCCTGGTGGCGCAGTGGTTGGGAGTCCACCTGCCGATGCAGGGGACACGGGTTCGTGCCCCGGTCTGGGAAGATCCCACATGCCGCGGAGCGGCTGGGCTCATGAGCCATGGCTGCTGAGCCTGCACGTCCAGAGCCTGTGCTCCGCAACGGGAGAGGCCACAAGAGTGAGAGGCCCGCGTACCGCAAAAAAAAAAAAAAAAAACAACGGAGCTGGAGGAATCAGACTCCCTGACTTCAGACTATACTACAAAGCTACAGTAATTAAGACAATATGGTACTGGCACAAAAACAGAAATACAGATCAATGGAACAGATAGAAAGCCCAGATAAACCCATGCACCTATGGTCAACTAATCTGTGACAAAGGAGGCAAGGATATACAATGGAGAAAAGACAGTCTCTTCAATAAGTGGTTCTGGGAAAACTACACGGACAGCTACATGTAAAAGAATGAAATTAGAACACTCCCTAATACCATATACAAAAATAAACTCAAAATGGATTAAAGACCTAAATGTAAGACCAGACACTATAAAACTCTTAGAGGAAAACAGAGGAAGAACACTCTTTGACATATATCACAGCAAGATCTTTTTTGACCCACCTCCTAGAGTAATGAAAGTAAAAATAAACAAATGGGTCCTAATGAAACTTAAAAGCTTTTGCACAGCAAACAAACTATAAACAAGATGAAAAGACAACCCTCAGAATGGGAGAAAATATTTGCAAATGAATCAACAGACAAAGGATTAATCTCCAAAATATTTAAACAGCTCATGCAGCTCGATATCAAAAAAACAAACCCAGTCAAAAATTGGGCAGAAGACCTAAATAAACATTTCTCCAAAGAAGACATACAGATGGCCAAGAGGCACATGAAAAGCTGTTCAACATCACTAATCATTAGAGAAATGCAAATCAAAACTACAATGAGGTATCACCTCACACCAGTTAGAATGGGCATCATCAGAAATTCTACAAACAAATGCTGGAGAGGGTGTGGAGAAAAGGGAACCCTCTTGCACTGTTGGTGGGAATGTAAAGTGATATAGCCATTATGGAGAACAGTATGGAGGTCCCTTAAAAAACTAAAAAAAGAATTACCATGTGATCCAGCAATCCCACTACTGGGCATATACCCTGAGAAAAACCATAATTCAAAAGGACACATGTACCCCAATGTTCACTGCAGCTCTATTTACAATAGCCAGGTCATGGAAGCAACCTAAATGCCCATTGACAGATGAATGGATAAAGAAGATGTGGTACATATATACAATGGAATATTACTCAGCCATAAAAAGGAACGAAATCGGGTCATTTGTAGAGATGTGGATGGACCTAGAGACTGTCATACAGAGTGAACTGAGTCAGAAATAGAAAAACAAATATCGTACATTAACGCATATATGTGGAATCTAGAAAAATGGTACAGATGAAATGGTTTTCAAGGCAGAAATAGAGACACAGATGTAGAGAACAAACATATGGACACTAAGGGGGGAAAGTGGTGGGGCGGGGGGGTGGGGAGTGATGGTGGTGGGATGAATTGGGAGATTGGGATTGACATATATACACTAATATGTATAAAATAGATAACTAATAAGAAACAGCTGTATAAAAAAATTAAAATTTAAATAAAAGATAAAATGACATTGTACAGATCCCAAAGGAAACGCTGGCCTTCCAGGTGGCACCAAGAGTGGATCTGCAGGAGGTCCCAGCTCAGGCTCCATCTGCAGCCTCTGAGGCCTGGGGTCCTGGCTGCGCTTCGCCACCAAGATGCTGGGGGATCCCGCTGCTCCCGGTCCGGGGCTCTCTGGGGAGCCTGCTCTTTCCAGGAGCCCACGTCTGTGCATTAAATACAGCCAGGCACATGGGAATTTTCCCGAACACAAGGCTAGCAAGGCCCCTGGCAGGAGATTGTGTTTAGACTCCCCCTGACTCACACTTTCCTGTTTATTTCCCATCCCCGCTCAACTGAATTATGCTGTGAAAGCCAGGTGCGGCCGCAAGGACATTCGCAAATTGGCCACAGAGCGGCGGTGAAGGGCAGCACCAAGCCGCCGGCCCAGGGCCAGCCTCATTTTCTGACCCCAGGGCTCCCCTCGCTGGGGCAAACTTCTCATTCCTCTCCTCTCCCTGTGTTCCTTTGTTTCTATCCACGAGTCGTGGAAATCACTGGCCAAAAACATTCTCCTGGAGCTGGAAGAATAAGTACCTCCTGTGCGTTTTGAATCTGCTGTGACTCGCCAGAACTTCACAGCAAGGCGTGCTCAGCGTAAAGCAGCGTTTCGCCAAAGTGCAGCCACCCCATGAGAAAACAGCAGCCAGGCTCAGCAGTTCCTAGGGCAAGGCTGCCATCAGCTCCTGCAACCCCTGCACCCAGAGACCTGCTTCCTGAAGGCAGCCGGTATCTACCTGCATTGCCAACTGCCCTTGGCTGTGGGGCAAATTCCTGCCTGCAAGACAGAGGGTCCATTATTCCACAGGCTCGCTGTCCCCCAGGTATGGGGAAGCGCACAGGCGTTTGTTTTTATCTTTCATTCTACTTTGCAAAGCACAGGCTATCTTTACAGAGACCTGAACCTCATTCATTTCCTGCAAAGCACAGAGGAGAAATTCCACTCCTGGCAGGCTCCTGTGCCCCTGCCTCAAGCATGAGTGGGGTTAAGAGAACACTAAGCTCTGTAGTCCTGATGGAAAGCCCCAGCCTGTGTCATCTTGACACTGCTCCAGCCCTGTGTGCTCCCTGAGTGCACCACACCCCTGCGAGTCCCATGCCTTCACTGGTAAATGGAGTTAATAGGAACTGCAGGGGCTTCCCACTTCTGCCATTTAATTAACTATGCAACCTCAAAGAACAAAAACCAGATTTTCTGGGCCTTTCATCTTTCATTTGTAAAATGACGACCCTGGATTATTAAACTAAGATGAAGTATACAAAGTCTAACGTTAAAAATTGATATGAGTAATATAAGTAAATAACAGGGTTTTTTGTTTGTTTCTTTGTTTTGTTTTTGTTCAGAAGAGCTAGGACAATGTCTGAACCCAATCTGCTCTGGTTATCACCTGCAATGGAGGAAATAAAATCAGTATACCTCCCCACATCCCTCTCTTTTCTTCTTCAAGCAAGGCATCTGCTCAGTTATAGGAGGCAGAATTCAGCTGTCTCCTGCAGAGGCCAGACCCTGAAGCCTTCTGTGGGTCGACCCTGTTTCTGTCCCCTGTTTTTCCTGACCACAAACGTCTGAAAAACACAGGTACCGACTCAGAACCTTGAGATGGCAGGTTAAGCATATGAAACACCAGCACAATTTGCAAAAAGGTCTAAATCTTTATGGCCTGTACCTTTTGTTAAGGGGCTAGGAGGAAGAAAAAAGGCACAGCAAGATAGAAGGTGAATATCCAATATGAAAAAGCAAATGATAAGTGAAGGCGGAAGGAGAGAATCCTGCTTTTCCTAAAAGCTTATTGAAAGACAAGCCTATGCCAAACTCTTGCCAAACCCGTCCACCCTTTCATGTGGTGGTAGAGGAAACAGCCCTGTGTTTCTGGCTTTCCTTACCAGTCACGGCGGTGTTGGCCACCTTGTACCTCTTCTTCCTGCAGCCATTCATATCCTCCCCTGGACTGCCAGACAGTGGAGTGGGGCTCACACCCCATCCGCCCACAATTCTGAAACCGTGGAGGAGGTTCCCTAAGAAATGAGGCTCATTCTGTAGTCCGGCCCTTGCTATTCCTTATACCAGGAATACCCACAGGCACTGCTAGTCTCTTGCTTGAGTGACTAACCCCAGCCCGTTCTGAATGTGCCCAGCCCCAAAGACCAGTCGGACTTGCTGCTTCTTCAGCAGGTAACTCCTCAAGGCTCGATGTTACATCAACAGAGTTTCTGAGAAGTTTGTGTGTTTACAAATGAAGATCAAATTAACATCCAGATGCAGGGGTATGTGTCCAGAAGCATAAACATACACACATGCAGTAATAAACGTTAGAAACCGCCTTTCGAAGCTTACCCAGAGATCTTTCCTTCGTCTGGTTGGCCGACCTCACCACTGGAAGGCTCGCTCGAGTCCGGCTGCCTCTGGAGAAAGGACTTGGAGCTTCTCCCTCAGACATGGCTTCCAAAGACTCTCCAGACGCCTCTGATAAATGCTCTGCCGGGTCACCCACGTTGGGAGGCTGAGGACTGTGAGACAGTTTGGGGCTTCTTGTCTGCAAAAGGCATGTGAAAGAAAGTGGGAAATAGCCTATTATTAATTATGCTGAAAATATTTTTAATGCCATCAAGGTCTACTAATCTGGAAAAACAACATGGCAACGAGAAAAAGTCCATCGGAAGGACTAGATACAAAAATAAAGGCAGAGTGGTTCAAAGTAGCAGTTGTGAACGTTAGTGAGAGAAAAGAGTCCCTGAGTATTCCATTAAGATTTTTATCGCTGGACATCTACTGTGCATATGCCGTTTCAAGCAAGGCATGGAGGACAAGCCGCATCACAGGAAAGAACGATGGCAAGTCAATTCCTTTGGCCAGACAAATTCTAGTGGTTGTTATGATCACAGCAGAGGGGACCGTGCACGTTTTTATCACCTAACACGGATGACGCACCCGCACCAGAGTAAACTGAACACACCCAGTTCTTTAAACTCTTCTATTAAGACTGTTTCCAAAATCAGTAAAATATGATTGTGAGGGAGATATTTCTATCACAGTTGATTTTTTTCTTTTGAGGCAGAAATCCCATAATTTGGATTATGTCTAGTTTTGGTTATTACTTACCTCGCCAATCAACAGACGGTATCTATAATAACTTAAACACACATAATACAAAATTTAATTTCTCTCTTGGTTATCTACACTGTAATGGCAAGGGACTGAATGTGTAAAACACTCATAATCTATGTTGGTCAATAACATTCCTTGAACATATACTGAGCACTGTGGGCGATTCAGAGACAGACAGACGTCATGTTGCCTGATGTGAATGAGTTTCAAAACTAATTGGTGAAATGAATGAAGGACAATAAATAACACAAGATAATGTATAATTAAGTTTAAACTACGAACTGTGTGGTACGTCCATTCATCCTTTCAACAGACACCTGTTGAGTGCCTACTGTGTTCCAGGCACCTGCTAGGTACACGCTATCACATGCTTGGTACTGGGAACAGAACGACAGACAAAAGAGACATGATCCTGCCCTCATGGTGCTTACAGTCGAGTCAGGGGACAGACACTGAAGACATTGACAGTGTGTAACCCAGGCTGGGGAGGGGGTGTATGTGGGTGGAAAGTTGGAAAAGCAAGTAAACTGTGACCCCAAGGACGTGCAAAGTTGGGAGGAGGGGGCAAGCCAGCGGGTGGGGTGAAAAGAAAAAGGCATTCCAGGTGGAAGGGACAGCATGTGCAAAGTCCCCGAAGCAGAAAGAAGTGGCAAGTACTGGAGACATGGTGGGACTGGAGACCAGAAGAGCCCAGATCTCACGGAGCCTTAGCATCAAGGGGAGAATTTTCAATGTGACTCTAAGCTACCAGAATGCCACTGAGGTATTCGAGGCAGGGAGAAGGGGGAGGTGGCCAGGATCAGACACATTTTTCATAAGATCATTTGGGCTATTGTGTGGAGGCTGGAGATTATACGTGTAGAAGGTCAAAGAAAGGGAGTCAGTGAAACTGGGGGGCTTAGGATGAATGAATGCACGATCTCAGCTTTCCCCCTCCCAAAGCCTGCCCCTGCTTTCATTACAATTCCAGGCAAACTGATCTGAATTAATCAGCAGGTGAGTTTTCTCTTACTAAGATGCCGAAGGTGCTGACGGGCTGGTCGTGGGACACAGGCAGTCCCCAGGAGCCAGGTTTTTTTGGGGGGGGCGTGGTTTGCATTCCTTAATGTCCTCTTAAGTCTTCCTAAGGATGCATTTTGAAGTTGAAAACACCAAAGCACTTAACTGTCAAGGTAGGACCAGCTTTGTGGGTGTACAAGCGACCCAGCATTTAAAAGTGCTCTGGGCTTGGTTTCATGCTCTGCTGTGGCCGTCTTGAAACGCTTAATAATTTTTTGGAACAAGATACACTAAGAATTATATACAGCCGGTCCTGCCTCAAGGCTTCAGCTACAGAACTCTTTCAGGGATGCCCCAGGTGTGCCTGATGTTCTAGGGGAGCCCTTTGAGGATGCGATGGTCAGTTCCTTTCCCTTTTCTTGCTAAAAGTACCAGGAGACCCCTCTTGGCAGGCGCACTACTGTATTATCTAGACACCCACCCCTGCTACACCTCTTAGGACATTTCCACAGAAGAAAACAGGATTAAGGTCAGAACATAGCCCCTTGTACCCCCTTCATCGAGGTGGCCAGCCTCGGTGTTCCACAGGAAACTCTCTGCTCAGATGACATGCCCACATCATGGCCAGAAAGGACACCCATGAACAGTTAACTTGTCTCTTTGCTTTGGGTTAATGTTTCCGTGCAAGGCCCCGAAGTGGTTTATTTTTCATAAAGTCTGCTTGTGTTACAAAGATTGGTGTCTGGCTTTGGCACTCTTTAAGAGTATTGCTAGACTTAAAAAAAAAAAACCAACCCTAAATCACTGCCCAGCTCACCAAGAGTTATGTAAATTCATATGGTCTTCAGTGAGGTAGATAGCTGGTTACTATTCTCAGCAGAATATCAAACTCAAATGTCCTCATCCCTGACTTAAAAAAAAAAAGAAAGAAAATACATTCAGCTTAGCAAAGTAGCCAAGAAATAATATTACTTGAAGCAACATGGCTACAATGACAACCTCTGGTGTTTGGTCATCTTTGCAGCCCATGGAAGACACAATGCATTTGATGAGTTGTCATTTTCCATTGCAAAAGGCAATAATCCTTGAAGAAAATCAAAATCAAATTTCTATTTCTTGTTCAGGGTCATCGTGGTTGAAGCATGTATAAAAATAAAGATATAAGGGCTCAATCCTTTTTTATTTTTTTTTAAGCTTCCTAAACACAGCTATTCAGTTCCAAATATAAACGCCTGCTCTCGTTATTATGTCATTCACTTTCTCATTGCAAACTATCACTGTATATTAGCAATCTTCTCACACCGTGCTCTCCCCTCAGATGCCAGCTCGATGCTGAGACATCATCTAGGGAAGAGAAAAGACAATGAAAATTGCTGACACTGGTGTCAGATACCCTATGATTTGACATATTAAAAAAAAAAAAAGTCAAAAAGCATTTGAAACAGGGACTTGGTACTCAGCCCGGTGCGAGTCTCCGGAGGTTAAAAGCGCTGTGTGTGGTTCTTAAGCTCATAACGCATTTAAGGTATATTTTGGGGCCAAGGATAATATACGTGTAACAGTTGGACAAGAGGCACTAAGAGATGTGTCACTGTGACAGCACAGGGCAGAACGGGGCTTGGAGGATAAGTGCTGACATTAAAGGATGGGTTGGGAGAGGACGGAGAGCAGAAGTGAGAGGTGCTAGGGATGGTCTGAGCGAAGTCACCCACTGAGGTTCTCAGGTCTGTGTGCACTCGGGGGCACATGGGAGGAGGGAGTGGGACAGCTGGCGGCCTCTAAAGGAGTTGTCCCCCCTGTGCACACTCTGAGGTCCTTCTCTGCTCTCTCAAAGGAGCTAACACATGCACCGTCCAGAAGCAGCTGAGTACCAAGTCGTCTTTTCGTACAGGCAACCCCCTCTCCAGTAACAGTGAATACATGACAAAGTTCCCCTTTTGTTATTTGACTTGACACTTAGCCATCTTTGAAAGGGTTCTGGCCCTCAAACAATGCCCCCCTCTCTGCGGAATTCCTCCCTGCCCACATGGATAAGTTCCTGATGTCCAATGTCCCACATCCAGGGTAAATACCGATTGTAGCATCCTTGGACCGTTCTGCTTTGCACCTGTTGTCCCAGTGTAAATATTAGTAGTAACTCCCTTCCACTCTCAAAGGTATCCTGGTTTGAGTGATGCAGTGTATGGTCACCCACTCCCAGCCCAGTCGCAGCTGACTGGACCAAGCAGTAGCTACCTGATCCTGGCTGGACCAATCACATGCTCTTCCTGGAAATGGAGCCCTGGGACAATGAAGCTCTTTAGTCTGTATCCACTGAGAACTTAAAATGTGAGGTCATTTGAAGCTGTGGCTGACACGCACAAGGGAACGTGAAACAGAGAGAGAAGAGTACAGAGAAAGGATGAAGCAGATCTGTATAGAAAAAGGGAGACAAGAGACCCCCATGACTCCAATGGGAGACCCTAAAAGACAGAACAGCTCTCTGGGCCCCTAGGCATGCCAGCTCCTGAGTCCAGTACACTGTGAGGTCTTTCCAAATTATTCCTTCCAACTAATTCCATTCTTACACTTAAACCAGTTTGAGGTGACTCTGTGTCTTCCAAGCAAACCATCACAGACAAAGACCAATTCTAACAGCTCCCCTGCCTGGGCAGCTATGAGGCTGACAGGTTTATAACATTGGTAATAACTGTGGAGAAAGTTAAACTCTCTGGAGCATTTGTTCTCATTTTGTATTTCACAAATTAAACACTCTTTTAAAAATTATGGGGGAGGGCACAACACAGGGTTACTAGGATTTTATTTTGCAAAGTAAGGGGCATCCAAACATGCCCTCTCGCTTGAAATTTTCCCTCTGTACGGCACCATGTTGCCACGAGAAAGGAAAGATATTTTAATACCAAAAAAATGGGAGGCAGGATACTCACACAATTCAGATTTGGCTCAAGAAAAAAGTCTTTCTGTTGGGAGTTACTGTTCTCATTTTGACTCAGAAGAAGCCTTTCCTTGGTCATGCATCATCTCCAGCATGGTGTTTGGAGCCCCTGCCCCAAGCTTCTGGGAGGAGAGCTGCCCCTAACTGGGAAGATTCAGGAAGCAGAGAATGGTGGAAACGCTCTCTGAGCCACCTGGGCAGGACTCCAGGGCCTGGAAAGCTGGATTTCAGTGCTTCACGGACACCCATGACCACCTCCCTCTGTTTCCATCACAACCTTCTAGATGTTTCCCTAAATCATCAGGTGATCCTAAACCTACCACTCAAACAGGAAGTCCTCTGGGGTCATGCAGGAAGGGGCAGTCTGTGTAACCTGGCCACCTGAACCCCACTGATCCTTTCTTGTCTTTACTTCTTCAAAAAGGGCTTTCAATCACCAAGGGATGCTGGGGTAGGAGGCTTCAGGCAGATCCCTCCTCTGCATCACCCGTAAC